GCAGCAGTGTTTGACGATATTCTGCTCAGTGAGAAAACCTGAAGTTATTTTCAAGGTCCACCATTCTTTCTTCTTTTCAGCCAGGTCAAGTTTCTAAACTTTCTAAATCTCTGTTTTCCAGCTAATGAAAAGAAAATAGGATTCTACCACGTCTCCTATCTACCTACTCCAGGACTTCTGTGAGGATCAAATGAGATGAGGCACGGGAAAACACTTCACAGACATTTGGATAAAGTGTAAAATGTTTCCACCTGGTTATAAAGCAAGTCGTGTTCCTGGGTTGAAGAAGACAGGCTAGTCGCTAGGGAGAGGAAGCTGGGCATTGCTATGTGACGTCATTACCCGGCACCCACAGCCACCGTTTCCGGGCTGGGCTGGGCTGTGGGCTGCATTTTGCGCCATGGGGTCTCGGCAGCGTTGGCTGCGATTTGGTGGGCTGTCGCTCTGGGGTGGTGGTGGGGCCTGTGTCCCACTTGAGGGAAGCCAAGTATTGGTTTGTCGGTGCCAGGTCCGTGGTGCCGTTTCTTTGTAAATGGCCAGTGTGCATCACTGCAGCTCCTGCATTGAGCGTCTGCCCCCTAGTGGTCAGTGCACGTCACAGCGACCAGTCGGGTGGTCAGAGGGACACTTAGCTTATTAGCCTTTTATAGAGAGATAGAAGTTTGAACCATATGAAATTGCTGACATTTGACCACTTCTGACCTAACAAAACTGCAATTCCATATAATTCAACTTAACATATATGTGCCATCTAAGGTGCATATTAATAAAACTGCAGCTGCTGTTTCCTGCTCTGCCTGCATGGCAGACAAACACACCAGCAGTAAGCACCACTAATCCAAGTCGCCGCCCGCCCCCAGCCTAGAAAGTGCACACCACCGCTGCCACCGCATTGCGCAAGGCGCCACCTCAACTTGAGGAGGCAGGCCAGGGTTCCCACTGGGAAAAGCTATTCAGATCCACCCATATTTTCTTCTGTTTGGCTAAGGTTGGATTTCTCCCCAGTATCACAGACAGCTGCAAAGTGGGACCTTTAGGAGAGAACAGTGCTACATACAGGTTTTCGAAAGAAAACGTCACAGCCACACTGAAGTCCTGTCTTCCACAAACCAAGGCCCCCTGAAGCTGTCCAGATGCGCTGTAAGCCACATCCAAAGAACAGCTCCCTGTCAAATCACTGCCCTGGATAAAATCCTAGTAATTGTTTGTGTAATTCAGTCCTCTGTTTGAGGGGGTTGGGGAGGTGGAGGTGTGAAAATCAGTATTTGCAGTATTCTGCCCCAAGAGAACAAACGAGTCATAAATGAACCCCAGGGGAACAAAGAATAGAAGTCCAAAAATCTTATATATTCTACACGAAGCAATCCATTAGGCAGGAAAGTCTGCATGGCTAAACAGAAAAGCTAACGGGGGTTATTACTTAGAGCAGAAATACCACTCCGATGAGGGAAGATGTCATTGAACAGTGGCATAGCCAGATACATACAAAACAGATACTTCAGGGCCATGTAAGGACACAAATGCAATACGAGGGGCACACTCACCAATAAGAGGTTTCTCAAACTATCAATGGTGGGAAAGACAGACAGTGAGGGGAGGGCACCTGAGGGGTGAGAGGGCACCTGAGGGATGAGAGAGCACACAGTGACCCATGTGCTGTGGCCACACACTCTCCGTGAATTTTACTGAGGAAGTGGAAGGAAGAAGTAGTAGAGTAAGAATGAGACTCCCATCCACATAGGCTCCAGAGAAGACGCTAGAACTAAAGACTAGCTAGATAAATGGGAATGAAAGAAGAGGGCCATCGAAGAAAGAATACCATGGTTTCTGTTATGAGGCAATAGGCTAACTAGTACGGCATAGCATGAAGGTTATTTGAGGCGTGAATGGCCATGGAAACTAAGGGACAGAATGTACTCAGAGTCCCACTTTTTAATAGCCTTTGCACTGGAAACTTGGCTTTTGAGCCACTTAGAAATGAGGAAATGCTTCATCATGGGTAAGAGAGCTCATTTTAAAATAAGAAAGCAGTATTTCTCTGGCCTGAGAGGTTTGCCATTGGATTACACACTAAGGATCAGGCTAGGAACGAGATTTCTAAGTGATCTGGAAGAGCCAAGCGCACTGTGAAATTACCAGGAAATGGGCTTGAATGAGAGCAGGTATATGGTATTTTATGTACAGAAAAATAAATCAGATTATCTGTCTCAGAAAAGCAGCTTTAAGTTATCAGCTGTGTCTCAGAAAAAGGATTTAAAAATCACTGCAGATTTTTACCTGAAGACAAATTCAGTATAATGTAAAAAAGTCAGCTACAATTCTAAAAGGGAAACTCAGGGATCAATCTTTTATTTTATTTTTTTTTTGGGGGGGGGGGAGATACATGCTCCATATTTTTATTTTTAAGATCAAGAATAATGTCTTCAGGATACTGAATACCTTCTAGGAGAGACAGCCAGGGCACAGTTTTCCCAAGAGTGAATTCTGGAAAAATCTGTAGCATTTGTACAGTTAAATGATTTTCATTAATATTTTACAGGCATATTTTACAGGCATGTTTGCTTTAAAAAGTGGTCTTTTTTTAAAGTTCTATATAAGCTGTCCTTATCCTATAAACAAAACCAGGGCCTATACTTGGGACATGCCAAGTCCCATCAACCTCCTGGGGCCCAGTGAATTATTTGGAAGCTAATATAATCATGGAAACAAGCCGTCACAGGCCACCAAAAAGGGCAGTCTCAGAAAGAGACTCCCATGGAGGCTCTGCCATGAATAACAAGTTTGCCCAGAAGCTGGGCTGCACTTCAGGCAGCTCTGTGCCAGGCTGAAACAACAGTTACACGACAGAGGGGCTGCAGGCCAGGGCCAGGCATGACTCCTCTAAGGAAAACACTGTCAAATGACTATAGGAGATGGGGGGAGGGGCACAGGTGTGCTTACAAACACAATGTAACATTCAGCTGAAATAATGAATGTCAGATTTTAGTTAATTCAATTTTTTATCATTCCCCATTACAGCATCTGAGACTAGCACTAACAAGCTATGTGGCTTTGGAAAATTAACTTATCTGAACATCGCTTTCCCCCTTTGTAAAACAGGAGTAACTGGTATTAGTGCTTACACCTTACAGAGCATAAGAGAATTATATAAGACTAGTGGCCCAGTGCACAAATTCATGCACATTGAAAGGAAATTAGAAAAAATATTTTAATATTGCTATTCGCACCCTTTTTCTATAATACAAGTGTCAGAGATGAAAGAAAATTAGTAAAATGTATATGAAAATAATATATAAATTGATTAATAAATAAATAACATGATAGAACAACAAAGACATGACATAAAAACAAAAACATGATATAAAAACAACAAAAACATGATATAAAAACAGTGCTAAAAACAATGACTGATAAATTGATTAAACTTATTCTAATATCTCCCTGTGTACCACATTAAGAGTAAAAACACTTTCAGAGTGCTTGACTAATTTCCCTTGTGATGAAGTATTTACAACTTTAACTTTTAACATCACATGCTCTTCGAACTCAAGAGAAAGCAACATATAACTGACCATGTCCAAAAACAGGTTCAGGTAGGAATATTCCTACTCTGTCTAGAGTTTGTCCTGTGATTTATTAATAGTCATAGCAAATGCTGGCATCATGGGAAACTGTCTTCAAATTAATTTAAATGGGAGACCAGTGTCAGATGGGGACAAATCAATTCTTGGAATCAGAACAACCTCTCCTTCCACAGATCCTGTTAATACTTCAGCTTCTATTATGTTAGGTCACAATCTTTTGATAATAAATCTAGTACCATTACAAAGACGCCATTTACTATTAATATTTCTTAGTAGCATTATGATTGCACCTACTTTCAATTTTAATTTATGACAGCATTCCTGAAGGAGTAATACTATTAAGAAATTCGATAGGAGCTTTATATGTATTGCACATGAATGAGTCAACATTTATTTTTAAACTGCGAGTGTGTGTCATATGTACCAGTCGGTCAGTCAGTCGGACGGTCGGGCAGTCGGACGGTCAGTCACTTAGCCTTTTATCCTATATAATAAAAGGCTAATATGCAAATTGACCAAACAGCAGAACGACTGGTCGCTATGATGCGCACTGACCACCAGGGGGCAGACGCTCAACACAGGAGCTGCCCCCTGGTGGTCAGTGCACTCCCACAGAGGGAGGGTCCTTAGCCAGAAGCCAGGCTCACAGCTGGCCAGCACAGCGGCGGTGGCGGGAGCCTCCTGCCTCTGCAGCAGTAGGACATCCCCAGAGGGGTCCCGGACTGCGAGAAAGTGCAGGCTGGGCTGAGGGACCCCCCTCCCCCAGCCAGTGCATGATTGTTGTGCACAGGGCCTCCAGTATATATAGATAACATAAGCAAACAATATAGTGCCAGGTACATAATGCGTGTTCTACAAATGAAGGTTATTATTATTACTATTAATAGAATAACCAAAAAAAAAAATGCTAACCCTAACCCCAAGTAGGTGAAACATGTAAATGGCAGGCCAGAGCCTTTTCCACTAGCTATGGCCAGAGGTACCCACAGCCACTTACGCCAGGAAAGCTAGCATTTACTAGCATCAGCATGCTCCACCATAGTTTGCCTGCTTTGAGTTGTTCTTATGTCCTACTGGATTCTAAATACCAGAGAGGAAAGAGTACATCACAGCAAAGTCCAGAGTTGTTTTTTCCTAGCATGCTGGTTTAAAGGACATGAAGATATTCTATTTGCTAGGGTTTTCAAAAAGCTCTACCCTTTAGCTCCAAATTATCTCCCCTCTCTCTCACTGAAACACCTCTATGGAATATACTGTCAGAGCCTCATCCTTTACCTGCCCACGTGCCTCCCCATCATTTCTTTCTTTCTGTTTACAAGTTGGGGAGACAAAGCTACAGGGAAGTGGCAGTAGAGAGAGAAATCATATTCTGACAGCAAAGAAGGCAATAATTCAATATTAGTCCATTTTTTAAATGTGGGTTAAATTAGAAAATAAAACCAGTTTACCTGACCCTGAAGTAACTATAAACTGCTGTAACCCCAGATAAACGTCTAAATTGTCCTGAAGAACTGGGAACTGAAAACAAAGAAACCACAATTAAAAAACAAAACATAAATGTGAGTTTTAACAGCATTTTACCACTAAAACAGCCCAAGTACCTCTGGGAGGTGGGGAGGTGGGGAGGTGGAGTGGGATAAAAACTCTTCTCTGGGAACCTTTACGTACCCTACGAAGAGGTAGCTCCCCTCACCCCTAACAATTTCTATAACTGAAACCACCATCAGTTTGATACTTTTTAAAAACAAAGCAGTGGATGCCGGGTATGATTATGATGTTCCTAAAAGAGGACTTCAAGCCCCAAATGATCTGATTCTTTTAGAGTTCTGAGACAGGCCCACCTCCCTTCAAATCCAAGGTAAACCTACCCTTGAGAGAAATACAGATATGCCTTTATTCAAGTGCATGGCAAAGTGAAAAGACAGGCCAAATCATTTGGAAGTCATTTTCCCTTACTCATTTAGCAAACAGGACCTTCATAATCAGAGCTGTATCTTTTCTTTCTAAACTGCTATTCACCACTAAGATAAAGATAAAAACTTTAATGTGGCAAATCCCTAAGAATGGCAGGTGACAAAATGGCAATCTCCATAGAAAAACAAAAGATACAATGCAAAGCTGACCCCAATAAATTAACTTGCCTTTGAAGGAGAGGCTTAATGAAATCCTCAGAAAACAGGTACCACTTAGTCAGTGAAATCAGTCCTATGACTAAAGATTCTAGCACATAAATATAAGCAGAGAGTGCCAGCAATTTGCCAAGAGTGAGCTTTACAATGGCTGGCTTTTCAGCAATGTGAGTCATATAAATAAACCTTCTATTCGGCCCAGCCACTTTCTAGCTACTGATAAAGGCATTAGTAAAGTTCATATTATAGACAAGAGTTTAGGAAGGAAAAACAGGGCTTCCCAAAGTTGATCTAACATGTTTGGGGGAAATATTAACATTTGATCAATTTGAGGATTGGGTATTACTTTCTGCTTAGAATATGTATCTTTTTACAATACTGGTGAGCAAAAAAGCCTTACTGCTCATCCTACATGTGCAGGGCAATCACTGGGCTCTTTAACCCCCTCCAAACGTGAGTTACCAGTGTCGAGAAGGCGTGTGTGGGAAGGAGCTCCATCACTTTGGCCACTACCTCCAAGCTCTGGCGTAAGTACCGCTGCCACTCTGTCTGCTGCTGCAGGGGAAACACAGACGGGTCAGCTCTCCTACAGCAGAGTCCTGTCATTTTCCCTGCCAAGCGATCCTCAGCCTCACTCTTAGACATACCATTTTGAAGAAATGGCAAATGATGAAACCAGGTTATTTGGTACTTTAAAAAGGCCAAGCTAAAAGATATTTTTTAACCCAATATATTGTCATTAAAAGCTTTTTCCTAAAAAGATGATGATCCCAATGGACACAGGCACTAGGGGCGTAGGGCATGAAACAAGGGGGTGGGGTGGGGGCAATGGGGAGATAAGGACACATATGTAATACCTTAATCAATAAAGAAAAAATTTTAAAAAAAGAGATGATCTAAGAATGATCTACTTTTTCCCCTACAGTCATAGGAACAGAGATAGAAAAGCCACTTGTGAAAAAAAAAATGCTCGTGTCCCCTTTCCCCCATCCGAGCTATAGGAACTGGTCACTCATTCCTTCTGAGACAGGCCAGTACTGGGTTCTGTAAGTATCACTACGTCAGTGCCACTGAAGTATGGTCTGCAAACAGGCAGCATCAGATCTCTCCTGGGGGCTTGTTAGGTGTGCAATGCTGTGGCCCCCACCCCAAACCCCCTGAATCAAAATCTGTTTAACAGCTGTGCCAGTGACTCTTATCCATGCTAGAATACGAGAAAGCACTGGCCTAAGTCCATGGTCAGCAAACTGCGGCTCGAGAGCCACACGCGGCTCTTTGGCCCCTTGAGTGTGGCTCTTCCACAAAATACCACAAAATACCACGTGCGGGCGCGCACGTACAGTGCGATTGAAACTTCATGGCCCATGTGCAGAAGTCGATATTTTGTGGAAGAGCCACACTCAAGGGGCCAAAGAGCCGCATGTGGCTCGCGAGCCGCAGTTTGCCGACCACTGGCCTAAGTCATACAGTTAACAAGAAGTAAAGCCAAAGTTTACCAAGCGCCTAGTATGCACCAGGCATGTAGCCAGTCCCTCTGCATGTGTTACCCTCACATAACTGTCAACACAGACATACCTCCCCCTTTTGGGAGATGAGAAATTTAAGGTTCAGAGAAATTCAACGCCCTGGCCTCTGTCTCCTTCATGGATTCAAATCCAGGCCATCTGGTTCCAAGTACAGAGTACAGAGCTCTTTCCAACCCAAACATGGCTACCCTCCTGGTCTTGATTATGCCACAGTCACTGCTACGTTGAAAATATACCAGTGACTTGACAATTTTGAAGTGCATGGTGGTTAAGGAAAAAGAACACTGGAGTTGTGCCCTTAAAGACATTTTCCTTATCAATGTGGGACACTAGCATCAATAAATTCAAAACTGATTTTAAGAAATATCAGTTTAGCTCTAGCTGGTTTGGCTCAGCGGATAGAGCATCAGACTGCGGACCGAAGAGTCCCAGGTTCGATTCCAGTCAAGGGCACATGCCTTGGTTGCTGGCTCGATCCCCAGTTGGGGGTGTGCAGGAGGCAGCCAATCAATGATTCTCTCTCATCATTGATGTTTCTCTCTCTCTCTCCCTCTTCCTTCCTCTCTGAAATCAATAAAAATATATTTTAAAGTAAAATCCATCAAATAGTAACAAAAAGAAGTGATTCCTGCTTAAAAAAAAAGAAAAGAAATATCAGTTTACAAAATGTACTCAAAAGAAATTTCCTTTCATTCTAGCCTTATCGTTTAAGTATCTCTTTCACTATTTCCACCAGCATCCAACTAGCTTTTATCTGTTGCCCAAAGTGGGAGTGGAGGTATGGGTGCCAGGCAGGGAAAATAGGAGGGATACAGAGTTTTTACACTTTTCACTGAACACATGTACTTACATCTCTAGTCCATATAAGTAAAAATGCCTGTAAAACTTTTTTTACAGTTAATGAACCCAAAGAGACAGGCAGGATATAAATTTCAAATGAACAACTCAAACCGTAAGACTACTCTGGCTTAAAAAGTCTCCAGAGCAGAGGACTGGGAGCTCTGGGTCTCCGTGCTGATTCACACCAGATGACAACCAAGAAAGGCCAACTAGGGCGTGCTGCTTACGTCATCATCCAGAGTCTCGTCATCCAACTCCTCCAGCTGGGCCTGGTTGTATCTGAACTGGATTCGATTCAACACCTCCGTGAGCAAGAGGACTAGAGCGTCTTCGTACCTACGTGCAGGGAGAAATCAACATCAGGTGAGAGCAGGCTTTTAGCCTCAGACTTTAAAAAGGCATCCTGCACTGTGAAGGGAATGGCGTCCGCGTGTTGAATTACCGTACACAAAGGAGCATCTAAACTAAACTTAGTGTCTGGGCTGGCAAGTGTGTAGGTGAGAGCGGAGCAGTAGCAGGGGTTCTTTATTTAACTGTGCTCCAGCACCTTCTTGCTGGACTGACCCTTTGAACATATATAATGTCCTTCTTTGTCTGTGGCAGCGATTTTTGTCTTCAGGTCTATTTTGTCTGACATTAGTATAGCTACCCCGACCTCTTTTGGTTATTGTTTGCATGAAGTATCTTTTTCTATCCTTTTTATTTCAACCTATCTGTGTCTCTGAAACTAAAGTGAGTCTCTTGTAGACAACACGGAGTTGGACAAATTTTTTTTCATCCATTCTGCCAATTTCTACTTTTTAACTAGAAGTTAACCCTTTACATTTAATGTAATTACTGAAAAGGAAGGACTTCTGCCATTTTGCTATTTTCTCCATGTCATATCGTTTGTTTCTCAATTCCTCCATTTTGTGTTAAATAGATAGTTTCTAGTGTACCATTTTAATTCCCTTGTCATTTCTTTTACCATATATATTTTTTAATTTTATTTTTTCCATCCCCGTTTATCTCCTCTATGTCCTCTTTCACCTCCACCCCCATAACCACCACATTGTTGTCCAAGTCCATGAGTTCACTCTTTTTTTTTTCTTTTTTGCCTAATTCCTCTACCCACCCCCACCCCACCCCCCGAGCTATCTGCCCGCACTCTATCTATTAGTCTGTGTCTAATTTGCTTGGTAGTTCAGCTTGTTCATTAAATTCCACATTTGAGTGAAATCATATGGTACTTGTCTTTCTCTGTACCATATATTTTCTCAGTGGTTGCTCTGGGGAATTACAGACACTACATATAAATATCAATTAATTCAATGATTCAATCCTTTTAACAACTGAGAGAGATAAGTGGTATTAATGGTATTCTTCTGATGAGAAAACTACAGTTGACAGAAGTTAAATAAATTGCCCAACGCTAACTGAGTTGAATCCAAGGCTCCCTAACTCAACATCCCATGTTCTCTCTACACATAAACCACCAATGGGCTTTGAGCCTGCTCCACCCACTCCCCCAAACCTACTATTTTTTTTCTTTAAATCCTCACCTGAGGATATGTTCTTCATTGATTTTTTAGAGAGAGAAAAAGGAAGGGGAAGGGAGAGGGAGGGGAAGAGAAGGGGAGGGGAAGAGAGGGGAAGGGGAAGAGAGGAAGAGGGAAACTAGGAGAGGGAGAGGGGAGAGAGGGGGAGGGGGAAACATAGATGGGCTGCCCCTTGCACATGCCCTGACCAGAGATCGAACTCAAAACCCAGGTATGTGCCCTGACTGGGACTCAAACCCACAACCTTTTTGGTGTACAGAATGATGCTCCAACCCACTGAGCAAACCCAAGCCTGCTCTTTAATCAGTTTTAAGAACACATAACCTAAGTGAAAAAATGAAAAGAGCCTGGAGAAACCCTGATGCGTTGATGTCTAAGCATAACTTCTCAGAAACATTTGGAGCCTGAGGCTGGATATTACTCACATGTGATAAGCACTTAACTCAGAAGACACCAAGTTATATGCAACAGTTGCTAACGCAAAGGCCAACAAACCACTAATTTTCAAGAACAAATCATGTTGCCTAAGTGCTTGTCTGTCCTGAAATGTTTCTCAGATAGGATCAGGGATTGCTCCCACTCATAAAGCAAGCCATCGTGCTGGTCATTCAGCTCTCAGCGCCAACCTGCTCTCCAGACTGTGTGATACTAGAGCTGAGACGACACAAAGCACACTTCTCCTCGGCCCACTGGGCTCTCTCAACAGGGTGCAGAGGAAGACAGGGCAGCGGGAAGGACTCATCTTCCTATGGGCTTGCTGACCTGGCAGTGTCGTCCCAACAATGGTCACCTGGTGGTGACAACTGTTCCAGTTCCCAGCTTCCACACTCCCAGAACCAGCCTCATGGTGCACTCTCAGAAGTGCCAGTAGTAGCCAGACTATTCTCTCTCCTCAAAGGATTGAGTCCCCGCTCCATGGGCCCCCCAGGAGCTCCTGTGGCAGTGGGGTGGCCCTCTGTCCTCAGACACATGAGCTCTAGCTGCCTGGGTTCATCTCTCTGATGTAGATTTCATAACCCCAATCTCTTTCCTTTGGTACCCCTCAACCTAGGGGCGGAGTTGCTTCCTATAGTTATCATCTGTTATCTCAGGGTTCCCCTTTTACTTTCCCAGTCCTCTAAAACCAGTTTAACCAAATTCCTACACTGAATTCTTAAAATAATCTAGTAATTTCTGTTTTCCTGACAGGACTCAGTCTATATATGTGAGTACTATGATAACAAGATAACCAAAGTTGAATGATATCCAATGTCAAGATCAAATACAGGCCATCTAGTCTAAGAGTTCCAACTCATGTGATGAGAGTGTTTGTAAATGACTTCACAACCTAGATTAGATTGGCAACTAAACATGGCCCAGAGAAGAATACTGGCAGGGAAATCAGTAATAAAACAGGCAACATCTGTGGGGAAAATGTCAAGAGAATCAAAATCCCAGCCACACAGATCAGACAAGAAGAAAAAAATAAAAGGCATCCAACTTGAAAAGGAGTTAAGTAAAATTGTCATCATCCGTAAAAGACATGATATTGTACATAGAAAACTCTAAGACTCCACAAAAAAACTACCAGAATTAACAAATGAGCCCAGCAGGTGTGACTCAGTGGTTGAGCATCAACCTATGAGCCAAAAGGTCATGGTTCGATTACCATATATAGCGCATATGCCTGGGTTGTGGGCTCAATCCCCAGGGGATGTGCAGGAGGTAGCCAGTCAATGATTGTCTCTCATCATTGAAGTTTCTCTCTCTCTCTTTCCCTTCCTCTCTTAAATATATATGTACTAGAGGTCCGTTGCACGAAATTTGTGCACGGGAGGGGGGGCGGTCCCCTCAGCCCAGCCTGTACCCTCTCCAATCTGGGACCCCTCAGGGGATGTGCGACTGTCCATGGGATCAGGCCTAAACCGGCAGTCGAACATCCCTCTCACAATCCTGGACCACTGGTTCCTAATCACTCACCTGCCTGCCTGCCTGGTTGCCCCTAACTGCCCGCCCCTGTTGGCCTGATCGCCCCTAACTGCCTCCCCTGCCGGCCTAGTCGCCCCACGCAGCCTGCTGTTCAGTCGTTTGGTCATCCCTCATTAAGGCCCCTGCTGGCCTGGTCGTAGGCAGCCATCTTGTGAGGGCACAAGGGTTAATTTGCATATTACCTCTTTATTATACAGGGTGTGTGCGTGTGTATTCTATATAATAAAAGACTAATATGCAAATTGGCCAAACGGCAGAACGACCAGTAGCTATGATGCGCACTGACCATCAGGGGGCAGATGCTCAACACAGGAGCTGCCCTGTGGTCAGTGAGCTCCCACAGGGGGAGCGCCACTCAGCCAGAAGCCAGGCTCACAGCTGGGGAGT